CCCCAGAGGAGGAGGAGGACGCTTCGACCGGACCTCATGGCGCTGGCTGGGCGACTGAGCCGCCTCCCGCTCCTCTCCCGGGCAAAGAGCGCGGCGGCCCTGACCCCCCCTCCCCTCCCCCCTGGAGGGCCGGGCTGGACACCCCCCCCTGGACGGAGGGGCGGGGAGGGCTCCGTGTCTTCCCAAAGGGGGCGCGGTGACCCCCGATATATCCACCCCCTTCCCACCTCACCCCGGGTAGGGCAGAAGGACCAGCGACTCTCAGCTTCCAGGCGTGGGGGGAGCCTTGTGCAGACCCCCCGAACTCATTGCTGGTGGGAGATTAGAAAGTGACACTTGCAACCTGGGAGTCCTTTAAAAGTCCCTGCCACAACTGTGAGCAAGACAGCGAATCCGCTCCAAGCCATGGAAAGCCTCCCTCCTGTTATTATCGCCTTCTGAGGAGCAGCCATCCGGAGCACTTGTGGGCAATCTCTGTCTTCTCCTTATCCAGAGATGTTCCAAGGAATCTCCTACTTACAGTGGTGGTGGGGGGAGAATTATTTGATCCCCTGCTGATTTTGTTCGCTTGCCTACTGACAAAGAAATGATCAGTCCATTATTTTAATTGTAGTTTTATTTTAACAGTGAGAGATAGAATAACAACAAAAACATCCAGAATCAAATCAACCCACTGTATATCGGTATCCATCACATCTCCCAAAGTCCCCCACCCTCACACATATCCCCATTAGTCCCCACTCCACCCCCAACTCATGGGTCCAATGGACTGTCTCACCTCCCAAGGAGGCATCAGAGGCTGCAATGGGAAGCTGCCCAGATGTGTGGTGAGCAAGATGGAAGATCTGGTACAGGTGTGGTGGGATTCTGGACCACTTCCTCCTGGAGCACTTCACAACTCCCAGTTGCAGCCTGGCAGTTCACTAGATAGGGCCCCTCCCCTTGTGTGCCCCCAACCCATGCTCTGATGAACCTCAAGCAAAAAAAATATTATGGGCTGGCCCCCCACCCTCACCAGCCCAGAACTCTGCGGAGTTCAGCCCTTCCTGCTTCTCATTATCAGATTCAGCTTAATTCTCCTCCTCAGAACGATCCGGATTGTAGTTCCTGAATTCAGTTGCTGTGGAATTCTCTCCTCCCAAGCAAGACTGAACAATTAAAATTTGTTTTTATCCATAACTTGGTCAACTGTAGCGTTCTCCTCAAGATCACCCAGAGCTCCCCTCTTTATGAGCAGATGCAACCCACTAATTTTATTAAGCACCACCATGGCCTCTGAGCTCGAACAGAGCAGAATCTGTACAATGGGTGGGATGTAGACATGGCAGCCAGTTTCCAGAGTCCAGTGCAGTTTTTGCAATTTTGAAATGGCCTGCCATGTCTAAATCGCACCCATTACACAAATTCTGTTGTGTTTGAGTTCACTGGCCGTGGTGTACTTAATAAAATTTGTGGGCTGTGTCTGCTCATAAACAGGGGACTCTGTGATCCTGATTGGAACAATATAGTAGTTGATTAAGGTTTTTTAATGTATTTTTTAATTTGGTTTAAGATCAGGTTAAAATACAAAATTCAAAATGGTTTCAGGAATTGAGTATGGCCGGTCCAGATAAAAGAAGGACTAAGGGGGATATGACAGCAGCCTTCCAGTATCTCAGGGGCTGCCCCAAAGAAGAGGGAGTCAAGCTATTCTCCAAAGCCCCTGAAGGCAGGACAAGAAGCAACGGATGGAAACTAATCAAGGAGAGAAGCAACCTGGAACTAAGGAGAAACTTCCTGACAGTGAGGACAATTAACCACTGGAATGGCTTCACTCCAGAAATTGTGGCTGCTCCATTTCTGGAGGTTTTTAAGAAGAGACTGGACAGTCACTTTTCCAAAATGGAATAGGGTCTCCTGCTTGAGCAGGGGGTTGGACTAGAAGACCTCTAAGGTCCCTTCCAGCTCTATTCGGATTAAGATTAAGAAGCTATGGACTTCCTGTCACCTGAGTTTGGACCAGTTGCCTGATTTCTGTCCCAATAGCTGATCCAGGTTCTGGAGGCAGCTTCTTCCTCAGCTGGACCCACAATAAAAGTCTTGTGCTATAGTAAGTGTTGGGGTTTTTCCTCCCTGGTGGTTGATTGTGATGCTCGGGTTGTGTTTTATGGGAGTGAGAAAATGCAGGGGAAATTCTCCGTTTCCATTTACGTCAGTGATGGATCAGCAAGCCCTGTTCCTGGGGGTTGTTTTCTCCACCACTGAATGAATAACAGAATAATAGACCTGGGGAGGGACCTTGGAGGTCTTCTAGTCCAACCCCCTGCTCAAGCAGGAGACCCTATATCATTTCAAACAGATTGGCTGTCCAGTCTCTTCTTGAAAACTTCCAGTGATGGAGCACCCACAATTCTTGGAAGGAAGCTCCGATCACCCTTCTAGGCTGCCTCAGGATAGCTTTTTCCCACCTGGTGTGTACAGGAGCCACCGAAGCCACGTTCCGGGAGGTCAACCCATTGTGGAAAACCTTGCAAGCCTGGGGGGGGGGGTTGTTTAGGCCAGCCCATGTCTTCCCCCAGGCTGCTCATCCCCCGCTCCACCCCCTCCCTCCAGCCCTGGGACCCTCTGGGCCGCAGAGAGCTTGGGCAGCAGCCTCTGCAATGCTGGGCAGTGAATGGCCAGCAGGGGGTGTCCCTCTCCACCCCCCCCCCCCCGCTGCTTCCTGGCTTCCAGGAGAGGAACTCCCAGAATGCGGAATGACAGAGTCGGAAGGGACCTCGGAGGGCTTCTGGCCCAACCCTCTCCTCCAGCACCGAGTTCTGGTCCTGCCCTAGCTATGGAAGCCGGCTGGGTGACTTTCGACCGGCCCTTCTCCCTCAGCCCAATCCCACCTCACAGGGTTGCTGTGGTGGGGACCATAAGGGGAGGGAGGAGTATTAGCTATGTTCACCCGAGTTGTTAGAATCAGAATAGAGCTGGGAGGGACCTTGGAGGTCTTCTAGTCCAACCCCCTGCTCAAGCAGGAGACCCTATACCAGTGGTGGTGAACCTATGGCATGCGTGTTAGAGGCAGCACTCAGAGCCCTCTCTGTGGGCACACGTGCTGTCGCCCCAGCCCTGCCTCCCCCTGCGGCCCCTCCTCCCCAGCAGCCCCCCAGAGGAGAGTCGCTCCCAGATGCGGTCTACACGGAGTCGCGCATCCAAGGACATGGCAGCCGGGCAGCAGGGACAAGACTCTGCTCTCGCACCCCATTGCGAAAATGCTGCAGGGCGCGGGCAGAGGGCGTGGCTGCCATGGTGCTGCAGGGCCACCTGGGCAATCTGCAGCGGGCCATGGAGGCGATGGGTGGCCTTGTGGGTGGACGGAGTGGAAGGCGTAGTAGGGGGTGGGTGGATGGGCGGGGTGCTTTTTGGGCACTCGATCTCTAAAAAGTTCGCCATCACTGCCCTACACCATCCCAGACAAGTGGCTGTGCAGTCTCTTCTTAAAAACCTCCAGTAATGGAGCATCAACAGCTTCTGGTGGCGAGCTGTTCCACTGGTTAATTGTCCTCCCTGTTAGGAAGTTTCTCCTTAATTCTAGGTTGCTTCTCTCCTTGATTGGTTTCCATCTGTTGCTTCTTCTCCTGCCTTCTGGTGCCTTGGAGAATAGTTTGACCCCCTCTTCTATGTGGTAGCCCCTCAGATACTGGAACACTGCTATCTTGTCCCCCCTATTTCTTCTTTTCTTTAGACTGGCCAAACCCAAGCCCCGCAGCCGTTCTTCGTATGTTTTAGTCTCCAGGCTTTGGATCATCTTAGTTGCTCTTCTCTGAACTTTTTTTCCCCAAGGTCTCAACATCTTTTTTGTGATATGGTGACCAAAATTGGCTGCAGGATTCCAGGTGTGGCCTTACTAGGGTTTTATGAAGCGGTACTAATACTTCCCGTGATCTTGATTCTGTGCCTCTGTTTATACAACCCAGGATTGTGTTAGCTTTTTTGGCTGCTGCTGCTGCACACGACTGGCTCATGGTCAAGGGATCATCCACTAGGACTCCAAGGTCCCTCTCACAGTTGTTGTTTTTGAGCCAGGTTTCGCCTAATCTGTACTTGTACCTTTGTTTTTTTCCCTAACAGTGAGAAGAATGAAACCAGTGGAACAACTTGCCACCAGGTGAGGGTGCTCCACCCCTGGAGGTTTTTAAGAAGTGACTGGACAGCCACTTGTCTGCAATCGTTCTATTCAGACCTTTTTCCATGCTTCAACCCAAGCTTGCAAAAACATGTTTTTATGAAATCCCTTCTTTAAAGTTGACACCATCCTTAAGGTCGCAGCCCTGTTTAGAGGCTCCTTGCAGGGGTCTGGATGGGGCTGGGCTACATTTTGTCCCCTCCCCAGCATCCCCTCCCCCAAACCCTTTTCAAACTCTACGGGGGGGGGGCCCTCCTGGTGCCGTCTGTGGCTCTGAGACCCATTCCCCCCCCTCTAAGCCATTAATGCAACTACTGAAGCAGGGGGCCGCCAGGATGGCCCCCACTTGATCTGGAGCAGCGGAGGAATTTTTTCTTTGAGCTGGCTTTCTGTCCACTTCATCCTTTGGCTATCCTTGACTCATTAGAAGTTTGGGGGGGGAGTCCTGGGCCAGCGTGTCTCACAACTGGTGAAATCTGGAGACTTTTCTCGGTTTGTGTGTTGCTCTTTGGCAAGTTTATGATGCAGTGTGTGGTGTGAACAGAGAAAAACAGGTCGATCCAGGATCCGGTTGAAGGGAGGTGTGAGAATGCAGCCACTGGGTAGGAAACGGGGAGCATTAAGTGGGCAAAATAGGTGGGCGGCTCCTGTATGTAGAGGGAGAGAAGCCCCCCAGCCCTCCACACACACACCCCGTGTCTGTGGTGGCTGCTTGGGTGGGTAGGGCTGGCACACGCTGCCCTCTATGCCTGGCAAGGAGGGAAGGGAGCAGCCAGAGGGGCACCCAGTCTGTGGCAAGTGGCTTTATTGATTCATTGTCCAATTTCTACAGAGGCACGGGGGGGGGGGAGAGGGTACCAGAAAGGTGCCCGGCAGGTCTGGCAAATTCCGTGCTTTGAAGGTGGAGCAGTCTTTGCACTCTTCTGAGCACAGGCACAGCGTCCAGGACCACCGTCTCCTCCGGGCAATAATTTATTCCAGAATTCCCTTCCTTCCAAAGGCGCCTGGAGGCTCCCTGCGCCTGGCCTCGTCCTGACCCATCCCTCTTGGTTCAGCAGGAAGAAGCAGGCCGAGCTTCCCTCCACGGAGCCCTTAGGGAGAGCCTGGAAAACCTGGAAAACCGAAGGAGGCGTTAGAAATGGTCTTCCCTGGGGATGGAAGGGGGGACAGACGGCTACAGGAAGGGGGATTCCTGGCCCTCCCTCCAGGGGTGTTGGAGAGTTCTTCCCCCCCCCCGCTAGGCTGGCCTGTCCAAGAGGCAGAGAGGCACCCCTCCCCCGCTGTGAGGGGCTGCTTCTCTCTGGGGGGGGGACACCCAGCCTCCGCCTTCGTGACCCCCCCAGCTAGTCTGGGGGAAGCTGACCTCCTCTTCTGGAGGGGAGCCCACCTAGCTTGGGGGTGGAGCAGGGGGTCTTCTGGGATATATGACTGACAGTGTTCTACGGGGGTCCACGGTCCTCTTTCTTGTCTTGTCCAGAGGGCCAGACCCCCCAGCACCCATCTTGAGGGGGGGGTGCAGGAAGAGGGCTCCTTTGGCAGTGCTGCTGGTGGGAGGGGGCTGGCTCTCCTTCCTCCCCTTCCTCTTCTTTGCACAGGGCCTCCCCACCCTTCAGCCCCCCCCCCCCGCAGTGCCACACACCCACCTCTCATGCGGCACCTCAGCCGGCACCAACGACGCTTTTTGAAGTTGTTGGCATTCCCTGCACAGCCCCCGAAGTCGAACTTCTGGCACCGCTGGGTCTTCGGGTTGTAAAACCAGCGTGGTAGTTTTAAATCGCAAGGGCCTTCTTCCACAGGCAGCTGGCAGAGGTCTGCAGGGCAGAGGGAGAGGTTGGCACCAGGTGGGCAGCAATATAGATGCTTTAAGAAGGAGGGAGGAGGGAGGAGGGAGGGAGGGAGGGAGGGAGGAAGGAAGAAAGGAGGGAGGGAGGAGGGAGGAGGAGGNGAGGGAGGGGGGAAGGAAGGAGGGAGGGAGAAGAAAGGAAGGAAGGAAGAAGGAAGGGAGGGAGGAAGGAAGGAAGAAGGGAGGGAGGGAGGGAGGAAGGAGGGAGAGAGGAAGAAAGGAAGAAAGGAAGAAGGGAGGGAGGAAGGAAGGGAGAGAGGAAGGAAGGAAGGAGAGTCAGAGGGAAGGAAGGAAGGAAGGAAGGAAGGAAGGAAGGAAGGAAGGAAGGAAGAAAGAGACCCAGAAGGCTTGGTCCAGGGCAAACTACCAACCAGTTGGAATCTCTAGAAGGGCCCGGGTGCCAATGACATCATGGCCCCTGTACTTTTGGTGCTGGTCCGACTGGCCACATGGCCTGGTGTGACTGGCCTTGCAGCTCCCAAACATCTGGTGGGCCCCAGTGCCCTCCACCATGCCCAGCATCTGCAGATGAGCCGGGAGCTCTGCCATTAGCACGCCAGGGGCACCCGGAGGCCTACGGATGGCGTGCGTGGCCTGCCAAGACACAGCCACGGAGTTGCTCACGGCCCACGCCCCCCTCCCGTAGAGCGGCTGGCTCTGGGTCTCACCTGTGACGGGCTCCACGCAGCGCAAGGAACAGCCGTAGGAGCAGCACTTCTTCGTCTCCTTGCAGCCTCCGTCGTGCAAGCACTCTGCCAGGCATGGCACCATGGCGCCCCGGGGGCTCGGCGGGCAGTAGCCCGGCTTTTCTGCAAAACAGAATCCAGCCATGGGCTCTGGGAAGCGCCACTCGTGCAGCCCCACAAGGGCTGGCACAAACCCCATCAGTGTGTGTGTGTGGGGGGGCACAGGAGGGGCAGGAAAAGGAGGGGAGCTTCCCCCCTCCCCGTACTGGACTCCTGAGATCGGCTGCACCAAAGGAGGACCAGTCAAGGGTGGGGGGTGCATCGTGCAGGGGCAGCACCCCAAAAAGCGAGGCTGGCTCGGGCCTTTTCCCGCAGGGGCTCAACAGACCCCCCCCTCCCTCCCGAAGACCCCTCCCTGCCAAAGAGCCAGGCTCACCAATCTGTCCGCAGTAGCGCTTGCATTCCTCCAGGGTGTGGTAGCGGTTGCGGTTCCTGGGGCACCCGTGGTAAACGAAAGGCTCGCAGCTCTTGGAGGTGACGTTGTAGAAAAAACGGTGTTTGGGCTCCCCGCATCGTTCCGAAGCGTTGGGGAAGGTGGTGCAGCTTCCCTCGACTGGCCAGAGAGAAGATTCGGGAAACTCAGAACTTTGCTCTGTTGTAGGTGCTCTGGGGTGTGTGTGTGGAGAAGGATAGAGAAGCCCCCCCCCCGGAATAGAGGGGTCGCCAACCTCAGCCACTGTGTGACTTGTGGAGTTCAACTCCTGGGCAGTTGGAACTTTAACTTTCTGGGGGATTGAAGTCCACAAGTCTTAGAATGGTCATGGTTGGAGACCCTCCCCCTAATAGAATTTGCAGCCAGAGCCTTGGGGGCTTTGGGGCTGTCTCTTGACCCAGGGAGGATCCCTCTAAATCCCAGGCTGTTTTTTTTTTAATGTGTTTGTTTGTTTTAGTTGTCTTTGTTAGCTGGTTATATTTTAACTGAAACTCAATCAACCAGAGGCCCTGAAGCGAGGGAAAACGTCACACCAGAATGCTGAATATTGGAATCCTTATGCTGGAAGGGACCGTGAAGGCCTTGAACAGAACAGAACAGAAAATAGAATAGAATAGAACAGAATAGAACATAAAATAGAAAAGAACAGAATAGAACAGAAAATAGAACAGAATAGAACAGAAAATAGAATAGAACAGAATAGAACAGAAAATAGAATAGAATAGAATAGAAATATAGAATAGAAATATAGAATAGAATAGAACAGAATAGAACAGAAAATAGAACAGAAAATAGAATAGAATAGAATAGAAATATAGAATAGAAATATAGAATAGAAATATAGAATAGAACAGAAAATAGAACAGAAAATAGAATAGAATAAAACAGAATAGAACAGAAAACAGAATAGAACAGAATAGAAATATAGAATAGAAATATAGAATAGAACAGAATAGAACAGAATAGAACAGAAAATAGAACAGAATAGAACAGAAAATAGAATAGAATAGAATAGAAATATAGAATAGAAATATAGAATAGAAATATAGAATAGAATAGAACAGAATAGAACAGAGAATAGAACAGAATAGAAATATAGAATAGAAATATAGAATAGAATAGAACAGAAAATAGAATCGAATCGAATAGAATAGAAGCTGGAAGGGACCTTGGAGGTCTTCTAGTCCAACCCCCTGCTCAGGCAGGAAACCTTTTACCATTCCAGACAAATGGCTGTAGTCGGATCTGGCCTCATTTGCATACCCCAATTAGCCATTCTGTTAGAATCCAAGTCAAGTCCTGCTATTCCAGAGCCAATGGGGGGGGAGGGGGGGGACGGGGAAGGCGTTTTCGACCCAAAGAATTCCAAGGAGCTACTTCC